TGGTTATATCGGATTGAGTTGATTGGCGTCGATTTGGCCAAATTGAAGCCGATTTATGATGGAATTTATATTCCGAATTAATGCTGAATGGTTTTATCGATTGGCGTCAATTTGTATTATCTGTTTGGGTCGATCGGCATAGATTGTACCAATCAGAAAATAACAAACCTGCCGAAAATAGTACCAAAATCAACCTAAATTTAGCCATCCGATTTATAGTCAATTTGGACTATTTCGACCAGTAATTTAAATTGTTTGCTAAAATAAAATTGAGATTGAACAGTTTATCGATAAAGAGACATTTATCTTTATACTGTTTAGTCATAGGACTGGAAGTATTATATATGTCTACGTTGAAATCACCCATTATGACTATGTGAAAGGATTTTCTTTATGCGTCTAATATAAGCTCAGTTAATTTGGCTTCAATTTGTTTTCAAAGGATAATTTGAGTTTTATCGCTGTGGTTCTCAGGAAGATAAATTTGAAAAATCCTTAGTTTAGTTTTGTTCTTAAACTGGAGGTCGATATATGCTAGTCAGTCAAAAAGAAATTCGTAGAAGAAGATATGGTCATATAAATAATTATTAATAATAAAGCCAACGTCTTGGCAGTTTTGTGACAGATTATTCAAAGAAAATAGGAAACAATACGGTTTTGATTTAAGATTACATAAATAATAAAAGGCTTGCGATTTGTTAAAGTGAGTCACAAAAAGACTAAAATATCTAGATTGTAATTGATAAAAAAATGTTCGATTTGTGAAAGTTTGATGTCTAAATTACAGCTCCTAATATTATGTGTGGCGAAAGAAAAAACTTATTTGTTATTACATTGCGTTTGAAATTATCATTTGTGAATTGATTCTTATTAAATTGATGCTTTTGGACATTGTTGGTATTAATAATATTTTATACTATCATTAAATAGAATGGGTTGTTGTTTGAAGAATAGGGGTAATGATAGCTATCAAGTTACACATTTCATTTTTAATATCATTGACATTCCACGAGACCTATGCGTTGCAGATTATCAATTTGAGAGGATGAGAAGATATTTTGATTCTGAATAGTGGTAATTGTCTTAGGAATCTGTAGTTCTGGAGTTTGTTCATCTATGGGTATTAAAAAGTCGTCATATGATGGGAATTCGTAGTTTGGGTCGTGAACATGATTTTGGTCATATTCGATATTGTGCATGAACTCTAAATAGTTCAGACAGAAACCAATATCATTTATATCGTCCGCGTGGTTTGTGAGGTCAGAATTAATGGCTTTAATTTTATCATTGATTGCGAAAAGTCTATTTTCAAATGAATCAAGTCTTTCTTGTACTAGTTTGAGAGCATCAAAGACATTTTGTGGCGTCTTAGGAGGATCTTTAGCAATAGGTTGTGTTGTTTTTGGTTATTGATAATATTTGCAAATGAAGGATTGTTAGGATTGCTTTTGTTGAAAGTATTAGATGGTCAGTATTGTTCAGGTTTAAAACGGTCGTATAATGGTTTGTATGGGTTGGCAGGTTTTCAGTTTGAGCAATCTTTGAATTTGTGTCTAAGAGCACTGCAGCTATGATAATGTTTAGCAGAAGAGTCCATCCAGAATAGGGTTCTTCCTTTAAATTTTTGTGACTATACAGCTGCAGCATCTAGTAGTACACAATTTTATGCATAATTTTATATATAGAAATTTATAGCTAAATCAAAGCTAAAATTTTCAGCTACAGTCAGTTACAGCTAATTACCATTCAGTCAATATTTATAAATTAATAAATTTATATTATTTAGATATAGAAATAGAGTAGTATTAATAATAAAATAATAAAAATAAATAATAAATTTTATATACTTTAAGGATCATATTATATTAATTGTAAATATTATTTTAATTTAAAAAAACTAAAATATAATTTTTATTAAATTAGTAGATAATAAATTGATAGTGATCTAAAAAAATTTTGAACTGAACGGATTCAATCTAAAAATTTTAAATTGATCTGAAATTTTATTTAATAATAAATGCCTTTGAATTTTAGTTAGGAATATAATTGATAAATGTTACATCTAAATTGTCAGAAGCAATTTTTAAAAACTAATAAAAATTAAACCTTAATTATCAGAAATAACTTTTATTAAAAAAAATACTAATAAAGTTGCTTCTGACAGTTTGAGTATGATATTTATTATAAAATAATCATTATACTGAACTGTTAGTACTAGGAAAATAAAAATAACAGTTGCATCTGAACTATTAGAGATGACTTTTATTAGAAAAAATGATAATAAAATTAATTCTGATAGTTCAGATGACTTTTTCTAATAAAGTCACACCTAAATTATTAAAGGTAGCTTTTATTATTATTTTTTATAATAAAAGTTATCCAATAATTTAAATGTAACTTTTATTATTATTTTTTATAATAAAAGTTACCTGATAGTTTAAGTGTAACTTTATTATTTTTTTTTAAAATAAAGTTAGTTACCTCTGCTACTTTGGATGTGACTTTTCCTAATAAAGTTATACCTGAATTGTTAAAAGAAGCTTTATTATTATATTTGAACTTTTAGAGATAATTTTATTATTATTTTTTATAATAAAGTTACTTAATAATTCAAATATGACTTTATTTCATTTTTTATAATAAAAGGTGCTAGATGTGACTTTATTATTATTTTTTATAATAAAAGTCACCTGATAGTTTGAATGTAAATTTATTATCTTTTTTTATAATAAAAGTTGCTGTCTGTGACTTTATTATTATTTTTTATAATAAAGTTATCTGACAGTTTAAATATAATTTATTATTTTTTTTTATTATAAAAGTTGCATTCAATAGTTTAAAGATGACTTTTATTATTATCTTTTATAATAAAAGTCATCAGACAGTTCAAATGTAATTTTATTATCATATTTTATAATAAAAGTTATTTTTGATACTTTGGATGTAATTAAAAATGATACAGCAATTAATTTTAAATTTACAACTTGTTGCAACCTAAGCTAAAATTAGTTGCAATGTATATTGCAATAGTATAAGTTACAATATATATATAGTTAAACCTATATATAACGATATTATATATATTGATAATTGCATTTACTAATAAATTTTTTATATACCATTTTATTATTAATTAAAAAACCTTTATATATCGATATTACATATGATTTCACAATGTAACATATATCGATATTTTTCTTTGCTCTTTTATAATTAATATATAGTAAGATTTACCGATATTTTAGATTATACCAGTATAAATCCATACTTAACATGATATAATGCATCTTTATTTGCATTAGAATTATGTCTCAACTATAGATAAAAAGAAATTCAACAAAGAAAAGAGTTGTTTTAACATATGCAAAAAAAAGATAACTCTATTTAGATTATTAAAAAATGCTACAATCCACTCAAAAAGAACGTGCCACTTTATACAAAATTAAACAAAATACTATTTCAGATATTTTAAAAAAAAAAGTGGCTGAATGTAAATCCAGAATCAGAAAAGTCAAATAAACAAAGAGAAAAGTCCATTTATTTTTCTCAAGTAGAAGAGGTACTTTCATTATAGATAATTAATAAACTTATTGCAGATCTTATTATTAATACTGATATTTTACGTGAAAAAGCTAAATTTTTTGCACAATAATTTGAATTTAATAATTTTATAGCTTCTAATAGATGGATTAATAGATTTAAGAAATGTTATAATTTAAAACAATATATTAAATGAGGTAAAGCAAAAAGTGTACTATTAGAAACATTAGAAGAAAAAAGAAAAAATTTGCATGAAATCATTAAAGATTATGATTTAAATGATGTTTTTAGTTGTAATGAAACAGGTAATATTATTTTTTTTAAAAAAATAATTGAATAATATTTAACATTTTATATTTATTTTAGGATTGTATTGGGATCTTGAACTTTCTAAAATATTAGCACAGGGATCACTTTCTGAAAAAAAATAAAAAATATGTTACGCTTCTGTTAACATGTAATGCAACCGGAACTGAGAAATTAAAGTCACTTTTTATTCATGCATATTAAAATCCACAAATATTACATGGAAAAAAAGGAAGATTTACCAATAAACAATATGTCACTAAAAAAATGTCGTTCAATTATATATGATAAATTAACTATAATAAAATCAAAACTATGCAATATCCTAATTATTAGAGATCTACGTAAGCTGATCTAAAATTTGAAAAATCAGTATGTTAAATTGATCACTAAGTAAGTTGATTATAGGACAAATTATCATCAGCTAAATTGATTACTGATCAAAATAACTTCTAATCAATTTGTTTTTTGAGCAAGTTATTCTTCTGATTTTAGATATAAAAAGAAGGAATTAGTTAGTATTTAAATTCGAAAAGATAACGATTCGATAATATTTGATACTATAATTTAGAAACTCTTCAATATTCTCTTAGATAGATTTTATTAGTTATAATAATTTCATAAGATTAATATTTAATAAAATTGACTCTGAAAAGTATAGATTACTAATAATTGAGACAGTACTGATATATTTAATTTTTTATTAAGTAATTTTGCTTCATTGTTACATAATTAAAAATCCTTTTACTATATTATACATTCATTTATAAATATAAATACTATAGAACTGAATGCAATAATAATTGAATATTAAATTTTTATAGCATATTCTAAGATTTGAAGAATAGAATAAATATAAAATCATATTTTTTAACATTTGTGATTGATGAGAATATAAGCTTTTAAAGGCATCAATTCTACTTGTAATTCTTTTAGAAGTAAATAAAAGGTTTTTTTTTAAAACTATATTATTAAATTCTATGATAAAAAAAAATAGCATTATACATTATTTACATTATTTTAAATATAATATAAATATGTCTATTTGTATAAATAAAATTTGGTTTTTTTATTTTAATTATTAATTATTCAGTATATAAAAATATGATTCATATAATACTATTTATTTTAATTTTGAGTAAAATTTAGATTTGTCAAACTTTAACATTAGAAATTATTAATTCAAGATATGGATCAGGTCTACTAAGATTGACACCAGGCCTCTTCTTAATATTTAATCCTTCAACTGGTTGAAAAATAAAATTTCTAACTAACACACTTAATAATATTTTAAATTCAGTTATGGATAATTTATAACCTATACAGGCTCTAATACCGACACCAAAAGGCAAATAATTATAATTTGATACATCTTTAATCATAGAAGGATCTAACCATCTTTTTGGATAAAAAATATCAGCCGTTGATCCCCAAACTGACGGTAATCTATGGATTGTTGCAATTGGAATATCAATTATAGTATTCTAATTAAAGGAGCATTTGTTAATAAAAAATTTTTGTAAAGATAATTTTTAAAAAAGAAACAAAAAAAAAATATTAGACCAATAAGAAAATATAAGCATGCCTTTGGAATAAAATATTCTCCAAAAACTTTATCTTTGATGCTCAATCGATATATAGTTGCAGCTAAAATGAAAATCGGTAGTTAATAAAATATAACAATAAATTTTAATTTTAATTTCCAAATTTTACCTGGAGGCAACAATCTTAATGTTTCTTTAACTACAGAATTTAAGCAATCTAAAGAATTTATTTCGTCAAAAGTGGGATTAAATTTTGATTTATCAGGAAAGGCTTTAACTAATTCTTCACGTAATAAATCTTGTTCATGTGGGTGTTGTGCAAGAAAGTATAAAGCCCAACTCGTTGTAATACTTGTAGTTTCATGTCCTGTTAATAAAAATGTCATAATCTAAAATGTTTGACGAGGAAAAAAAATTAAAATAAAGAAAATATGATAATAATTAAAAAAATATTTTTAACTACTTGATATCTTAGTTCATCTTTAGTCATTTTTTCATCATTGGGTAAAGTTTTGTTGATATTAATTAATAAAGATAATAAATCATTTCCGCTATTTTCGTCATTATGGTAACGTTCTTCAATCAGCTTTTTCGATTCGCGCTCAATAACGTTAAATGCATTATTAAATCTTTTGTTTATATCTATTGGAATTTTTCTAATAACTGGGAGATAAACAGACAAAAGACTAATAATGATGCTTAATTTGGTTAATTCTTTACCCATTAAATGATCATAAGCTTCTGCCAATTCACTTGGAGAAGTTGATGCATTAAATTCATGATTGAATCCTAAATTTATTGTTTTAATAAGTTAGGAATGTTAGAAACTTTATAATATCACTAATTTATATTAAAAAAATTTATTCCTTACCAACCAAGCCAATGATATCTAAAGTAGTTTTAGAGATATAGGGAATAAAATTAATTTTCGATTCACCTTTATTTACATCATCTTCTATCAAACACTTTAATTTAAAAGCTAAGCGGGAAAATGTCGGAACCATATTCTAATTTGTGTAACGTGGAACTTTAAGTCACTTGTTATAATTTATTTATTACAATAAAATGTTACGTACTTTAATATTATTATGAGCGAAAGCAGGATTCATCATTTTTCTCTGTCTCTTGTGAGTTTCACCCTCTACAGTAGAAATACCTTTACCAACAATGCGTATAATATCACCCCTTATAACGTTAGATTTAACAAAATCATAACCTTGGGTTAAGAAAATATCCTTTATTATTTTTGCATCTGTAACTACAATAGTCGGTTTATTTAAGAATCCGTAATATTTTATAAAATTTCCATATTTTTTTACCCATCTCTTATGTGGTTCACCGGACTAAATAGTTAAAAATAAAATGTCATCTTAGTAATTAAAATCGGTTAAAATATAATTAAAAGTATTAACTGACCTCTTCTACGAAAAGAGTTTTAAGATTTCCATAGAGAAGATTTTCCGAAGGTGGTCCAGGAATTTTTCTCAAAGGGGAAATATAATATGGAAAGATATATACTTTATAAGTAAACAGACCTATAAATGCTAAAACAAAATAAGCAACTAAAGAACTCAATTCGATCATATTCGTTTTGTTGCGATTGAGAAAATACGATTTTTTAAAATTCAATAAATATGTCGTCGCAGCACTATATGCTATTTACGTATTATCACATGATATACATCTATATCGTTGGTCCCAGAATGATTATTATAATCATTATAGTATTCGCATACGATTAATCAATTTGAGAAAGTAAAATTTTCACATTTCGTACTTGATTGACCGGTGAAATCTTTCTGAAATTGGAATGATCATGTAATTGAAATTCTGAACTTCAATTTTTAAAACTGTAATTAATTTTAACTATTATATTAAGATGATTACTAGGAAATATTTTATTAACCAACAAATTATTAATTGAATTTCAATTGATTAAAGTCTTTAAATGGAAATGAGGTGAGGCCTTCCAAATTTATCTAGAATTTAATTTCAGAATACCCTAATTTCCTAAATTTTCATAAACAAGTTAGCCTTTAAATTTTATTTAAAGTAGGGGCGATATTTCATAACGAGTACACTGCAGTGACGTAATTTTTTGAGTCATAAATTGACAAATCTAATTTGATTTGCCAACGTTAAACCCTTACGTTTCAAATTAGGCTTTCGAAAGAATCTTTAATAAATAGTTTCGACTTATTAATAACAAACAATACTAATAATGCAAATAATACACAATGTTTGAGACAGCGACGACCTTTTATCAATTCCAATTGTAAGATAATCTAAATTTCAAGCATTAAGTCGAATTCTTGTAAGATGAAATGTTTAAGCATTGACATTTAATTAAAATTTAATAAAAATCTCATAATGTTTGAGTCAAATTTCTTCCTTAAAAAACAATCATCAAAATAAAAAAAAGTTGAATTCAGTTCAAAGACTATAAATTTGACCGGAATTACTTAAATTAATTAACTTTATTCTTACTAATTGGGATTCATTATATACTACTATACTGTCATGAATATGCAAAATGCTGTTCACAAAAATTACATGCATACACCAATACATATGTATTCTGCCAAGGATTCTTTCTAAGTGCAAATGTAGTTTAAGTAGAATTTCTATAATTAGAACAAAAAAATTACGATCAGATGACAACAACTAATTTTGTAATGATCAAAGCTAGTAGTGTAACATAGTTTAAATTAGTTCCTTTCACATGACTTATGATGAATTTTGTTTAAGCTTTTCATGTTGTGGCGAACAACTTAATTCCACTATTAACTAGAAAAGCTGAAACGTTATTATGCATCATAAATCAATCTATATATAACTAAAGCATGAAAATTATTTCTTGTTTTTTAAAAAAAGTAAGGAAAAGAATTTTATTTTGCATTCGTGCTTATTGGTTAACCGTATTTGGACTTTTAGTCGGAAGAAAACGCTCTTTATTAAAAGAATCTAAAAGTTGGTATCCTTTAAACTTTAATTGCTCGTAATTCTAAAAAGGATCAAGAGACTCAATTCCATTATTACAATATAGATTCTATAATTAAAGGCCTACCAATCGATATTTTTATCACAAGGTTCGTGACAGACAAATATTTGGTCTCCGAGAATTATCAAATATATAGTATATAATCATTGATTGAGTTATTATCAACACAATAAATACATTAATCTTCTTAAATAGTTACGAGCCCCTTCCCCTTTTTTATGCGATCATACCTGATAATAGATATTTTCATCCCGAGGAAACACACCAAAGTGGATCAGATTGGTTATGTAATATATTTTCATCTCTTTTTCACATTTTTTGTTTATCATAAAATTGTATTGTTGTAACTTAGTTTATGTATATTTATACAGTATGATATATATGAATGTGTATTGTATTTTATTTTATTTAAAGTATTGTTATATCTACTTAATAAACTAAATATTTTTCGATCAAGTCAGAAGCAAAATCATTACAAATCAATAATTGTTCTTTTTGATATTTTTCATTTTTTTGAGTTTAGATGTTTTGCATATATTGTTAATAAAAAAAACTCATTTTATTTGCAGAAGGTTAATTAAGTAACTTTTTTTTAAAAAAAAGAAATATTATTTTAGCTCGTTCTTTGAAAACATTTGTCGCGACAGTTAATTTACACAAACCGATTTTTATCCAATCAAAATGCGTATTTAAAATGACGATCCTCAGACCAAGTCGGATGTTTAATACAACGTGGACCGTACCGCACCGAATGTGCAAGTTAAAATACATACGTATCGATCGACTAAAGTGGAAGAAAAAAATATGCTTGATGATCTGCGCACCTTCCGGACTTTCTATTGAGATTTTCCTTGATTACCCTTCATTATTTTGATTGAAAAATGATGATAATAAAAATAAAAACGACTATTCGCATTGAGTTTGTACTAAATTTTTATTTATAAATACTTTTTATTTGAAACAACCTTAAAAAAAGAAAAAATAAAAAAAGATGACAAAGGAGCGCTCTTTGTTATGATGATATTATGGTTCTCGGAAATTGTTAAAAATTCTTTATATTGATTGATTGTATTAATCCGTACTCATAATGATACAACGACGATGGAATGTTTAAGCTTCAAGTGCGCACTACTGGTTTATTGATTGCATACATGCAGTTTGTTTTTTGCTTGTTTATAGGAGCGCAGTTTACATGCCTGTTACATGTTAATGGAAATGATCTGATCTTGTGTTATCTTGTTACCCTTTCTTTTTCTATGAGACAGGTTATAAAGAACAAGTGCGAGTTGAAACATAACTTTATTCTCTTTACGCTAACAATTGACAGCTAGCTTATTCTGTCATACCATGACATGTAATAAGATCGCATAATGGTTTATTGAATCCCCTACGTCGTCGTCAAATTTCTATTAAACGCATAAATTTATAATTTTCCAGATAATTTGCTCAAACCAAACCAAATTAATTAAATTCCGTTTTGAAACTTCACACTTTACCATACTTGGGCGTGAACACCTTTTTTTTTTAAAAAAAAAAGAAAATCTTTATGAAGAAAAAGAACCAATGGAGCTCAACAAATCCAACCAATCAGCATAATTACGGCATTTTATTTCTCCAGATCGTGTTTTTTTTTTTTTTTTAAAAAAAAAACTTCGTTTTTTTATAAAAAAAAAGCATAAATAAAAAATAAAATAAATTTGAAAATATTTTTATTTAGATCGACCTTTTGACCAAATTATCTTTCGGTATTATTAACAAAGATTAATCTTAAAACTTAATTTTTTTTTTTTTAAAATGTAAATAAAAAAATCCTTTGTTTACCATATATTTTTTTGACCCCATAGTTTCGATTTTTGTATCAAATGATGTTCTTTTCTGGAACTTTAATGCCGATCAAATAAATTTATATTGTGTCGCAGCAAAAACCAAATATTTTATATTATTTATATTATTTTACAATGCTTATGTATGGTCCACACATGATTGTCTTTATACTCATACCACTTTTTTTATTTCAACACCAACAACAATGTTATAAATAGTTTCACAAATAATTAAATTTCATCTCATACTTTTAATTTCCACCACTTTTCTGAGAGATTATTAACCTATCAAAAACCAACTATCGATGATCGAATCACTTATATAATGTTTACTAAACCGGTAATATCTCGGAATCAACGGGAAAAAAAAAAAAATAAATTAGGATTCTATCCTTTTTTTTTTATGAATTTTAGAAGGAATTAAAGAAATTGATTTTCTTTTTTTTTTTTCTTCTTTCCTATTCTTTACTATACTTTACTTTACTTTTATTTTCAATTCCTTTTTTGTTATTTTAATAGAAAATCTCTTGATTGGCAAAATACACCTGTATTAAGATCAATATTTATTTATATATATATCATCGAAAAGAAATTTCTTGGAGATTTCTAATCACATTTTTTCAAAACGTAAAATCCTGGTTGATTACTAAATACTGAAATGTTTCGAACAAAACCAACCCAAACTACATCCAATCCAAATTTTCAATCACAAAATAGAAGAGATGAATTAGATAATATAGAAGATAAGTTATCAAATAAAAATAGTAACAAGATGAGAAAAAGTTACGCTATTAAGAAGAAACAAAAGCGGGAATTTGAACCTTTATCTTTAGGTAAAACTTTCATGATTGTTCATCTATGTGCTGGTGAAATAGCCAGAAGAGGTAAGGTACCTTTATTTGTGAAAGTAAAAAAAAAAATGTTTTGTGTTACCGGAACTAATCCTTTCATATACCAAAAAATAAAGGATTGACAGAACTTAGTATCTTCAAGCCTTTACGATTTAGAGATGGAAAAGATGAGGTCAGGTACCTTATCAACTGTCTTTTGAAAGACAATCGTAGAGAATTCGAAAGTGAATTATCATATCAAAACATACATAATATCGTCGCTGGCATACGAATGGCATTAAGAAATTGTGAGCTTGACATCATTTCTTATGAAAATTATTTACAATTTGTAAGATACGAACAAGGTAGGTCAATTAATCTTATGATTGATTTTGAGACTTTAAAGCATAATCTAATTCAATTTAAATTAATTACCTAATTGGTTTAAAAATAATTTCAATCATAACAGAGTGGCAATATGATTTAAAGAAGGGATGCTTTAATCAATTCCTTTCAAACCTTTCACGATTAAGTCGAGGGATACTCGTAGATTTATTTGATTTATTCGCCATGACAATGGAAAATTCTCACATCAACCGTATGCATCCAACGCGAATCCTAAAATCCATGTCCCCTTACATATTTAATGAATTACAATCGAAAACTTATGAAAATTTTCAGATAGCTTATCAAGATTGGTTAAAATATTCGAACGCTTTAACTCATTTATTCTTGGCTTACCTCAGAGAAAAGGCGTGCTCGATTGAATTACCTGAAAGGTTACATTTACTGTTATATGATTACGTCGAACGTAGGAAAAAATGTTTGATGAATAGTAGCGTTAGTGAAAATGGTGAAGAAGTCATTTTTGATGAACATGCTTTACCTGATATTACCACAGAATTGGACGAAGTCATTAGTTCCATTGATAATATTTCTACTTTGGACAATAGACAATCATTTGGGATAAAAAAAGATACAGGTAAAAGGATTTTGTTCGATGATAACAGAACTGCAGAAGTTAAATGGGATGATTTACAAAATAAAGGATTAAATATATTATCCGAAGAAGCGTTAAATTTATTATTTGCTTATTATGATAAAGATATAGACCTTAATTCTATAAATGTCGAAAAAGGGAAAAGTGTAATAAGAGATGAGAAAAGATTTGAAAGTCAAAGAAAATATGACCGGTTTGATCTGCCGGAAACACGTCCTTCCCTTCCAGAAATGGATTTTAAGAATGATTCATTAAAAAATATCTTTAATTTCAATTTATATAATGATGATGAAATTAAAATTGAACCGGATAATTTTAGAAAGAAAGGATTCCGTGAATCAATTGATAACGATTTGAATAAGTTTAATAATAAATTGAGTTCACCTAATAATGGTGGTGATTCAACATCAATCAATTTTAATGAAACTTCTAATGGAAGAAAAGAAGTATCCTTACGTCGTCGGTATTCAGCTGAATCGATTCACATTAATGAACGCAAGCAAGAAGACAGGGAATGGATCTTGATTGAACAACATTCTGATTTAATGATAGATGGTAAAAATCTATTCCTTACAGATCGGAAAAAAAACAAAAATAAAACAAATAGTATCAAGCTTACAAATCGTGTTTCGAATAAAATGAATAATTTCAATTTACCTTGGACAAAAAGTTCGAAACGAATTAAAAATTCGAGTGAAACTGGTGCTTCAATTATAGATCCACTATCAAAGATTCCTAATGTTCCTGATATTCCTGCATCATTTCGGAAATTTAATAATAATGATGATGATGGACAGCAATATATTCAACAAAGAGATAATCAAACTGAACGATATCAAATGAAGGGACGAAAACAAAAATTTCCAAAAGAACAAGAACAGTCAAAAGGAGAAAAAAATAAAGCTAATTTTAAATCAAATGAAGTACAATTTAACGATATATCCGATAGGTCACGACCAAATCCTAAAGCACGAGATTACCTAGAATTGGAAGATGAGAAAGAGAATCACAAACATACTTCACAACATAATAATGGAAAAATGTCTTCAGTGAAACGATCAACTACTATGCCAGGTCAAAATACAAACCGCGCTAAATCAGTACGTGGTAAAGATTTACCTTATCCCGTTACTCCAAAAAATGCTGGTCGTCACTTTTCAATTCCGAATCAAAGTCCGTCTGGAGCTCATTTGCAAGTTTCTCAACATCCTTTACCCGAAATACCCGACAGGCTAATTCCGGTACCATCTAAACCCGAAAGGAAGCAAGATCCTCAAAATCCTTTACCCGAGATACCTGACCGACAAATTCCGGTACCGCATAAACCCGAAAGAAAATCTTCGGCGTCCGGAATTCGTGGTGGACCAGTGCAAGTTCCTCAACCCGAAATACCCGACAGGCTAATTCCGGTACCATCTAAACCCGAAAGGAAGCAAGATCCTCAAAATCCTTTACCCGAGATACCTGACCGACAAATTCCGGTACCGCATAAACCCGAAAGAAAATCTTCGGCGTCCGGAATTCGTGGTGGACCAGTGCAAGTTCCTCAACCCGAAATACCCGACAGGCTAATTCCGTTACCATATAAACCCGAAAGGAAAACTTCGATGTCTGAAATTCGTGGCGGACCAGTGCAAGTTCCTCAAAATCCTATACCCGACATACCCGACCGACAAATTCCGATTCCGGTTAATCCTGACAGAAAAGCTCATACTCCACCAAATCAATATACAAAATTACCTTCACAACCAAATCAGCAACAATTTTATCCGCTATATCCAAAGCAATATCAAATATATCCACGACAAAATTATCAAAATTATCCACCATCAAAATATCCTCGGCAATATCCACCACCACAACAAAATTATTATAATTTCTCAAATAATTTCACAAATGAAAGACCAATTAATACTCATCAATCTTCAAGGAAAATGCAAGTACCACCTGAAAATATTACTCGGCCGACACCGCAACAATATTATTATGATAATGTCAATACTTACGTTCAAGCGCAACCACGGCAACAACAACCATATTATTCTCCTGGTACTTATGGCGCATTCCCAATAGATTCTCAGTATCAACAGTCTAAGTTATATAACAAGTTACGACCTCAATATTCAATGACAACTCCTTTGAATGTTCCTTTTTAAACAATTATATTTGAAATCATCTTATTGGTTCATGAATATTCTAATATCAAAGAGAATTTTCGGAATTCTAATTAATTGTATATTTGTCAAGAATCTCGGTTTTTGGCAATTAAAAGTAAAGTGCGCTATATTAAACAATAAAAATTCATTATCACTCTTTTAACATAAACTTTTAAATACTCATTTACCCCAATACTTTTATTGGTTTAATATATTATTTACTAGCATTAACCTCAAAAAAGTTATTATACAAATACTTTTAAAATAATATAACACATTAAAAATTTCTTTATGTACAATATTCTTTGTGTATGCACCTGATTTACCATCATCGACTTGACCAAATTTTTTGTTTTTTATTTTATTTAATTTTTCTTCCATCCTTAACAAATTTTCATTATATACTACTACTTGAATTAAGGTAGGATAAAATTAATTTCTTGGATATTTATGTTAATTAAAAGAACACTTTGTAAATCGCTAAAACATTTAATAATTGCATGAATTTGTCGGGACTTTCGACCATTTTTTTTTTTAGCAAAAAAAACTATTTATATCCTAAAAATTGTGAAGAAAGTATTTTTTGTGGTATATGTTTTACTAATAACATTTAAGAATGTTCATGTGAAAATGCCCCATTATATGAGAAGGATAAGTCGCAAAATTGCATCAAAATTTAACGATAATAATAATTTTCACAATTTTCACCCATTTTAACGCTTTTATTTTGACATTTATATTATCTCAAGAATATTGAACTTATCTTGAAGTAATCTTTTGAATATTTACAAAGTTAGAATTTTTTGTTTTCAATACAATGTGATATGAAGGACGAAGTCTTGGACAATGCATTTGAACTTTGGAATAATGTAACACCATTTTTACATAAAGGATGGCAACTCCATCATTGAACAATTTGTGATTGATACCGACTTTTTATTATTTATTATGTTATACTATAACAAATTACTAAAGGAAGTCATTCAATAGAATATCATAATTCTTTGGCAAAACAAAATTTATTATAGTTTAGAAGTAAAAGATTATAAATTTTCAATTACCCGAGTTTCGAAAATGATGGTCACGAGTTATCTTATTTTATTTTTTTATTTTTTTATGTGTAAAAAAGCTTCTTAAAATATTTTCTTTTAAAACGCTTGAAGGTGAAGGAAAAAATGTTTATTTAGAATTTTTAACGTAAAAATTATTAGATATATTAAACAAATAGATTTAATAAAACATAAAATAATACTTTGAAGCATAAAATGATAAATTTCGTATTATTATTTAATATTTTAATTCTTCTTTTTAAACGCGAATTTTCTCTTTAAAAGCGTTGCGAAATTCTCTATTTATTAAATTAATATCAGAAATATTAAATAAAACAAGTTATATAGAATGAAATACTATTTTAAAGCATATTAATTAATTAAATAAAGATATTGTGTTTTATTATCTAACTTTCTTCACTTCTCTTTTTTTATTGTAAACAAACTTTTTCTTTGAAAAAATATCGCGAGAAATTTGTTCAAAGATAAACGTTACACAAAAAGCCAACTAACTTCGTCCAATACACATTTGGTTTAGGTTAAAAGTTACCTTAGGTTAAGGATCCTAAAATTTATGATTTCGAATTAATCTTAGTTGAATTATATTAAAAATAAAAAAACTTATGCTGAAACAAATCCTTGCTCTCTCTCTCTCTTTTCACTGCAAGATCAAAGGAAAAATTATTTTTTCTCTCGAGAATAAAAGGACAGGTAGCTCTTGAATGAGAGTAGTTACATTTCGAAGACATTTATAGTTTTGTTAGGGATTTATTTATAAATCTTGTTACTCGTGATATGGAATATTATTTAATTAGTTGTACGTACATATGCGAGGTTTAATTAACCCGATATTTTTATTTACTCATCGCACTTTTTTGTATTAAACGTTAATTATGATTCGTTGATATTATAAAATCTAGAATAGTAGTATACAGAACAGAGTGAAAAAAAGAAAATAATGTTTTATTTTTGATAAACTTTATTAAAGATCCTTGTTTATAATCCATTCATCCGTATTCTAAATAAAAAAATTTTTATTTAAAAAATTTTGATTATATGTTTTATCAATAAATTGCTATATCTATCTAAAGATACTATATCTATTTTTTAAAAAAATTACCACTTGTAACATTCATCAGCAATATCCAATTCTTTTAATCGGAACTAAAATTAATTAACTAAAACATACAAAAGACAATTACAATTTTATTAATTACTTCAATTTGAATAATAGAAATTACTAGATTAGAGAGGTTTGCATAATTTAAAGCATGAGCTGTATAAATTGCTTGAGGATGTAGCAATGTTTGAAAATCATCGCGTCGACTTTCATCATGAGCTTTAAGAAATTCTTTGGCAACTTCTGATTCTTTATCGCTTAATAGCAAGTATCAGGACCAAATCTCATCATGTAGCTTAACAGCAGAAGGCATTTTTCAGGATTAGCACCAAGACATATTCAAGTTCACAATCATGTGCTATTTTTCCATACGGAGGTTTTTCATTAATATCTCTACCATGATTATAGGTGCTATATAAGGAAGCAAGCACACCAAATATATTTGATGAAGTAGAATTATTAATTGATTGTGAATATCCCAAGTCGGAAATAAAATAAGAATGTACAAGTATGTTTCTGGAGTGCAAATTTTTATGGATTAATCTTAACTTAAGATTAAATAGAATATTTATCAAAATACACAATTTTTCTTCCTATTTTTAGATTACAGTGAACTCTTGATATAACGAATTCTACGATCTGGATATCAACTTCGTTATAAGCTTATAACGAATTTTTTAAAGAATTTAATTGGCTACTTCACTATAGTAAGGTAATTTTAATATATTTGATTTAAAAATTCGCTATATCAAGAGTTCGCTATATCAAGGTTTGACTGTATGTAAGTCATTTTTTACTTTTGAAATAATAACTTCTTAAACTTCTTAAATCTCCATGCTCAGCGTATTCTGAAACCATTATATATTTTTTGGTTTCAAGATTTTTTCATTATACCATCCATAAAGTTAACGAAGAGATGTTATTGAGTGAAAAATTGGTAGTGATCATTGCTAAATTACGTTTGGGAGAAAGAGTTTTTTTTGATTTTGGATTACTAACCTTTTCGCTTAATTGGGATGTGTGTCATACAGATCAACATTAATTAATTAATAAATGTTTCGAATTAGGAAATTTGTAATACAAACAATTTATCTGCGTTGTATAATATATATATATGCATATTCAATATGCATAAAAATTGTATAACAGCTGGATAAAAAGAAACTCTCTCCCCTATTTTACAAAACCAAAATTTTCACAAGAAAAATAAAATTTAAAAGTTCGTTTTTAACAAAAAATTAATTAATAAACCCAGTATAAAGAAGGTTTCTTTTGTTTTACCCCACCTTCTTCACTACGCGAGAGAGTTATGACGCGTAAAGACGCTGCAAAACAACAAAAAATTAGTGATCCCAAGTTCGTTCCATACGTCGCTCCAAAAGCCCCAAAGGAAGCTGTTATTTCTACACCAGCTCCTTCGTCTTCTTCAACCTCAACTTCTGTCCCCACCAACTTAGATTTAGAAATTGTTCAAGAAGTTTTTGGTTCGCTACCAGAAAAAACAATGGATTTTGAATTCTTTGACGTATCTAAAATTGCCACTTCTAATAAATTTTCACCAGTTACTCCACCTTCAAATAACAACAACAATAATAACAATAAAGCTGATGAGATCCCGAAAACTCTTCTTCAACCAAAGATAAGTCAAAACATTTGGACCCTGATGAATATCTCGAAGATAATGATATGGAAGAAGACCTAAAAGATTTTACAGTTGTTACTAAAGCTACTCCCTTTGCAGTTGCTACTCATATACAGTTTACACCCAAAGAAAAGAATAACAGCAAAATTATTCTCGCTATCAATAATGTTTTTGCTCAAAATGATGATTTTTGAGGAGTTTCAGTTCGTCGCGTCAATTTGACGCATTCTGTAATTGTCTATTTTGCGACATCAGACGCGGCTGCCGCAGCCTTACACGTGACTATTCCTGATCTTAAGATCGACACTTTCTGTGATTTTTCCCAATACAAGGCTGATATGCAATTCAATGAGAGAACTATCCACGTTACTGATATTTCACTACAAATGAAGCCTGCAAATATCAAACAAGTTTTTGCTAAATATGGAACTATTACTGATTTTAAAATGACAGTA